TCCAGCTCTTCCATTTTGGACAAAAAAAAGTTTGTTATCATCGCACGGTAGCGCTCGCCATTCACAGTTACGTTCCGGCCATTGTCGTCTTTGAAGAAGTACGACCCGATGATGCCACCGGCCCATCATCCACACCAAACAGTGATTTTTTCGGGATGCATTGGTAGCTCTTGCAATGCTTCTGGCTGGTCTTCACTCCAGATGCGGCAATTTTGCTTGTTAACGTACCCATTCAACCAGAAATGCGCTTCGTCGCTGAACACAATTTTTCGATAAAAATGTGGATCTTCCTCCAACTTTGCCGGCGCCCATTCACCAAATTGGAAACGTTGTGGGAGGTCGTGTGGCTTCAATTCTTGCACCAGCTGTATCTTATAAGGTTTTACACCCAAATCCTGTCGCAAAATTTTCCACGTAGTGGAGTAACAGAGGCCCAATTGCTTCGAACGGCGGCGAATCGACATTTCACGGTCATCACTAACACTGGCGGATACAGCCGCAATATTTTCTTCAGGCCTCACTCTACGTCTGCGTGTTGGTGGTTTAATGTCCAATAATGTAAACTGGGTTCGAAATTTAGCCACAAGCTTCCGAATAGCTCCATCAGTAGGCCGACCAAATTGGCCATAAATTGGAAGCAGTGCTCGATGCACTCTCTTAACCGAGCATGAATTTTGATAGTAAAATTCAATAATTTGCAAGCGCGTTGTTCATTCGTAAGTCGATTCATCGTTAAATTATAGATCAAACTGAACAAGTTTGACAATGACACAAGTCACGATTCACGCGTCATCTGTCAAAAACAGTGTTGCCAAAAAGATACTACCAAAAAAATCACCCATACCTACCTACTCTGATGTGAAATAATAATATGTACACGGATAACAAAATCATTAAATCAATTAAGATTTTAATTACACCAATTAAAAAAATGTAATCAACTATGTGACAACTAACAAGTTTATTTAGTTTAATAAAACTCCGATTTCTAAAACAGTTCATTTGAAGTTATAAAACGAAAGGAGGACCGAGTCCGTGATTCAACTAAACAGTTTAACTGTTCTTATTAAAATTTTTAATTGTTTTTAATTGTACCTTTTCTAGATAAACTAAATTACCTAACCTAATAAAACAGCTAATAAACAAGGTACATGGTTCCCTTTCTTCAAGCAAATTAGTTTAATATACTAAGTGACATATAAATCCGAACACCCAGTTTAAATGGTTTTATTTAAATAAAAGTTGGTGAATGTATTTATTTTACTGTAAATAACAAGTGAAAAAATGTTCAGCCTTATCAGTTGGACATTCCGGTTTTTATACTGCTTTTTTTTAATTCACTAACGCTCTAAAAATGAATATTTCAGCCGCAGTAAAGAACCAACGTTGGCGGATTTTGGTTCTTGACATCCTTTACGATCGGTTACGATGCCTAGAGTACGGAGACCTGTACGATTTCGTCTACTTAGTGAGTGTGATAGGGGACATATAGTGGGACTTCGGGAAGCTGGACTTTTTTTTCGGGCAATTGCAGTTAGAGTGCAAAGAAGTGTGGTTAGGTGTTGTCAGGCATGGCTTCGAGAAGGCCGTACGCAAAGAGCAAGGGGCACTGGACGCCGCCGTAGAACAACAGACCGTGAAGATCGCCGCCTAAGATTATTGGCCTTAAGGGACCGTATCTCCACTACCAGGTCCATTGCAAATGAATGGTTTGCAGAACACGGAAGACCTATTGGCATGCGAAGTGTTTACCGACGAATGAGAAGTTTTGGCTTGTTTTTATACCGGCCACACTGGGTCCTCCCTTTAACTCGAGAACACCGACGCAATCGCCTTGAGTGGTGCAGACAACGGTCACTCTGGGATCAGGAATGGAACAGTATTGTCTTTAGTGACGAGTCTCGATTTTGTTTAGGCATGCACGATGGTCGTGCCAGGGTTAGAAGGCAACGTGGTGAAAGGAGGAATCCACAGTTTTTTGTTGAAAGACATGTTCATCACACTGTTGGAGTTATGGTTTGGGGTGCTATAGCTTATGGTTCCAGGTCACCTTTAATCTTCATCAGAGGTAACATGAACGCGCAGCGTTATATCCACGAAGTTCTAGAACCCCATCTTTTACCCTATCTTGACACCCTGGCAGATCCAACTTTCCAACAAGATAATGCCCGACCACATGTTGCAAGAGTCACAATAGACTTCTTTCAACATAATGATGTCACATTGTTACCATGGCCACCAAGATCTCCCGACTTATCCCCAATTGAGCACGTGTGGGATATGATAGGTAGGAGATTGCTCAATTTGCAACGTCCTCCTCAGACTCTAGAAGCACTTCGAGAGGAGTTGGTGGTTGCCTGGAGTGAGATACCACAGGAGGACATTGACCACCTGATCAGAAGCATGCCTAGGCGCGTTGGACATCAGGGTGCATCCACACATTATTAAAGGTCAAAGGGCTTTAAACCAGTGCAATCATTTTGAAATTTTTATCATTTACTTATTATGCTTCATTAAGTACTTATACAAAATTTTATTAAAATAAAACCATTTAAACTGGGTGTTCGGATTTATATGTCACTTAGTATAGTATATCACTTTCAATAATTTAGTTACTTAGAATAATTAAAACGTTTATTACGGGTGATGAAAAATTTCCATAACTGTTTATTTGACCAAGTTTTCTCAGTGTAGTTGATGTTAGTGTTGCTTACAATCAAAACCTCTTTGATCCAGGCTCACAAAGGCCAACGTCATGGCTTCGAGGTAGACATATTAACAGACAAGGTGAAATGCAAAATGATGCAAGAAGAAAAAGAATTCCTAAAATTCGTTTGTTCGGTGTTGGATACGAACGCATTTGAACTTGTTGTGAGAAATGGAAATGACCAGATCAGCTTGCGAGGTAAGACATACAGAGTTTGTCCGGAAAGTAGTAGGACTCATTTTCTTCCGCCATGACTGTACTTCGGAGCGTACGCGCACCGACTGGATTCGGCATGTTCGCGCGACGTGTTTCTGTGTGTGGTGCAAGCCGAAAATGCAGCGTTCGTTAGAGCAGATGTACGCGATTAAATTCTGTGTGAAACTCGGTAAATCTGCGACAGAGACGTTTGATATGATCAAGCAGGCTTACCCAAGTGTTTCGGTGGCAACATGCCTTTTTGGAGGGCCGGGAAGGGGTCGCTGATGAAGACCGTGCTTCGACAAACTCCGATAATGTGACTCGTGCGCTCAAAGCTTTGAACTCAGACCGTCGACTAAGTATTCGTTTAATTGCCCAGATGTTAAATTTAACAAAATCTGTGGTTCATGACATTGTGACACAGCATTTGAACATGCGCAAGGTGTGCGCGAAGATGGTCCCAAAAGTGCTCACTGACGACCAGAAGTTGCGGCGAGTGGAAGTGTGCCAAGAAATTTGAACATGTGTGAAAGTGACCCCCAATTTTTGAATAACGTAATCACAGGGACGAGTCGTGGATCTTTGAGTATGATCCCGAGACAAAGAGGCAATCTTCCGTGTGGCACACGACGGCGTCTCCTCGCCCAAAAAGGGAAGAATGAGCAAATCCAAAGTGAAAACGATGCTCATTGTCTTTTTTGACATCAAAGGCGTCGTCCACCATGAATTTGTTCCTCCTGGACAAACCGTCAACGCCAAGTTTTACGTGGAAGTGCTCAGGAGACTCAAACGAAGGGTCAGTCGAGTCCGACAAGACATCGCAGCCGACTGGAAATTGCACCACGACAACGCACCGGCTCACACCGCCTTTCTTGTGAACAGCTACCGGCATCCCAACGCTTCCGCAGCCGCCCTACAGCCCAGATGTGGCCCCCGGACTTTTTCTTGTTTCCTCGCCTGAAAAGGCTGATGAAAGGCGAGCATTTTGAGACGACAGAGGGGATCCAAGCAGCATGCACCGCGGCTCTCAAGGCTATTCCGGAGAATGCCTTCCGTGACACCTTCAATGGTTGGAAATCACGCTGGCAGCGCTGCATCGACGCAGAAGGAGCCTATTTTGAAAGTTTTTAAAGAATTGTAACGGTTGGCTCAATAAATGTTTATAAATCGACTCAGTCCTATTACTTTCCGGACAAACCCTGTAAGTAATCATCTGTAACTACACATAAAGAAATGACGGAACGTGATAAAACCATTAAACGATTCTTTATCAGGCTTATACCCTCTTGGAAGTCTAGCGAATCATAGATGCTTTCCTAATACATTTCACGTATTTGACCATGAACAGAGGATGGTTACTAAAGCATCAGTTTTCATAGGAAAAGATGAAGAGATATTTCATTCTTACACGAAGATATTATGGGGCAGTTCCAGCAGGCTGCTTCATTTGAAAGCAACCAAACACTTTGTTTGCAAGTGTGAAAGGTAATAAGAATTTGACGTTTGTATTTCTCGTACTTGCTAAGGTTAATTCTTAATCGTTTTCATAAATATTTGCCTTGCATACACTGACGATACATTTATACGGGGGTTTCAATTATTAATGCGTGGTCTAATATCACGATGATGCACGCGAAATACAGATATTTATTTTTCAATTTATTATTGAAACCCAAGCTTATAACTTAATTTCTGTATGGCTTTTATTAAATTTTTTTTGAGAAATCAACTTCTTTCGTAACAGTGCATATGTGGTTAAAATTTGTCGGATAAGTTGTGAAACACCCTGTATAAGTACGTAATATGATTTTGTCTTCACGGACGTAGTAAGTTTTTAATGTATCTTACTGAGAAAAGTGTTTGAATGCCTTGCTGTATTTTCATGAAACAATTCCATTTAACTTAATACGACCACAAGTTTGTCTGATAAAATCTGTGTGTCTAGGTCTTTTGATAAACGTGAAACCTTGGTAAGCGCTGCACTGACTGATGGTCGGATTCATTCACCATTTTCAAGGTCTCTGATCAGTTTAGAGAATATCATAAACATTTTGTAAGGTAACTGGAAAGTTTCAAATTTTGCTTTTCATAGTTTCTGTCTACTTTGTGTTATCGTACATACCATTTTCAAGACACACAGATGATGTAGTAGTAGAAGTGGTGGGGGGAGGCAAAGCCATGCAAGACGGTTGAATGAATGAATGAATCTTGAATTTTAGAGGCATCCCGGCCACCATAAGGAGCCAGTGCATAGGCCGCTTAAGCGGGCCCTTATGCACCTCATGCAAGACGGTTACCTTTGGTCTTTTTTGCTGAATAAGTAACGTCGGCAACAAATTCCATAGTTCTGAATATATTAGCCCTTACGCCGCTATACAGGGTGTTTCAGTTTATTGTTGCATAACTTTAAGATTCGATAGAACTTTTAAAATTAATGCATAAAGTCTATATAAACATGGGTCGAAAAATGCGTGGTTTCCGAAATAATTTACTTTCTAAAATAGTTTTTTTTTTAAATATTTCGAACAATATTTGATGTATAACAGTGAAAATTTGTATACAAGGGTTTTTTGGTACGACAAAACGAACCATAGTTTTACTGTAGCCGCTAGAGGGCGCTCTCTAGTGTACCTGTAGTGTATTAAAATGACAGAAATTTTTTTCTTAGTGAAATTTTTTGCTTTTTTTAATAAAAAACTGATTCTTCGCACTTTTCAACATAAAAAAGCTCTCTTGTGAATTTTCGTTATAGTTAGCCGTTTTTGAGATATTTCGATTTTTAAGGTTCGACTCATTTTTAATTATTTATGATAAAATAACGTTAAAAAGTCAGTATCTCGATAATTTTTAGAAGTAGGCTGTGCCCGCAAATATTTTTGAAATTGAAAGCAGAATAAGGTTAAACGTCAATTAGTTGACAGTTAGTTTTGTTGTCTGTTGAAACCTGAAACGTTTTTTTGCAATTGTGAATGCACGAAATTTAGTTTCATTTACCTGTTTTCTTTTTGTAAGTTTTCTAAAAATGCCATTTTTCTTCTCCAATCAAGAGTTAGCGGATATTCACTTTGAGTATGGCTTTGTAAATGGAAACCCAGCAGAAGCAGCCAGAGAATACGCACGAAGATTTCCAAACAGACGACATCCAACTCGCTCAGTATTTATAAGAGTGCATCGCCAAATAATTTAAAATAGTTTTGGAAATCTCCAAAGGGATCAAAACATAAATGTTTGTCAGCGCAGATTTACACGTATGATTCTGTGTGAGTTTGATAGAGATCCGACCACAAGTGTTAGGAGAGTTTCTGGTGCCTTGGGAATTTCAGCAAGCCATGTTCACAGTGTTCTTAGAAATGACCATAGACGTCTTTACCATTTGCAACCTGTGCAAGGACTACAGCCATGGAACGGAGAACGAAGAATCACATTTTGTCAGTGGATTCTTGATAGAACTGATAATAATAGGGAGTTTTTAAGTAACGTTTTATGGACCGATGAGTCATGCTTCACTAGACGTGGAGTGGTTAAATCAACATATTTGGTAGCATGAAAATCCGCATGCAGATCGGGAAAGAAATTTTCAGCATGAATTTAGTGTGAACGTGTGGATTGGTGTCTACCGTAATCGACTATTTGGACCCTACCTTTTGCCTGCAAGGTTAAATGCTGCGACCTTCTTGGAATTTTTAAAGGCTGAACATGCAAATATGTGGGATGATGTTATGTTAGATTTAAGAAGATTGGCCTGGTTCTAGCTTGATGGTTGTCCAGCTCATTATTCGAGAATAGTTAGAAACTGGCTGGACGAAAATTATCCAGAAAGATGGATCGGCCGTGGAGGACCAGTCGCGTGGCCTCCACGATCCCCTGACCTAAATCCATTAGATTTCTTTGTGTGGGGATTTCTAAAAGAAAAAGTGTACCAGACTCCCGTAACCACAAGAGATATGCTAATAGACAGAATCACTAATGCATGTGATGAAATAAGGCCTTATTTGAATAATGCTATACCACGTTCGATCATTCGTAGATGTGAATTGTGTATTGAACAATTGGGTTTACATTTCGAGCAACTACTTTAGATTTTGTATGTTTGTCCTAACTATCCAATAGCATTTTAGTTGTAAATAATTAATTTAATTTGTTAAAAATAATATTGGAAAATTAAACAAATTAATATTCTGTTTTTTGTGTTTATTTGGAGTTAGGAATTATTGCTGTGTTTAAAAACACAATCTAAACGATCATCTTAATTACTTGTAATGCCCAAATCGAAAATGTAAAAAAAAATATTATTTTCCCATAAATAATTAAAAATGCATCGAATCTTAAAAATCGAAATATCTCAAAAACGGCTAACTATAACGGAAAATTACAGGAGAGCTTTTTTATGTTGGAAAGTGCGAAGAAAAAGTTTTTTTATTCAAAAAGCACAAAATTGCACTAAGAAAAAATTTTCGGTCATTTTAATACACTACAGGTACAGTAGAGAGCGCCCTCTAGCGGCTACAGTAAAACTATGGTTCGTTTTGTCGTACCAAAAAACCCTTGTATACTAATTTTCACTGTTATACATCAAATGTTGTTCGAAATATTTAAAAAAAAAACTATTTTAGAAAGTAAAGTTAAACACCCCCCAAATTTAAACACCGTTTCGTACTCTTCCCAGCACTTGGGGCATGTTGGGTCTCTTTCCTTCTTTAAAAGGGATAAGAGCCTGTTCACCCCTTATCAAAAGATTAAGTGATTTTTTACCTCTGTCCAGAAGCCAGCGTTGTCAGTTGTTCCTACAATTTTAGGACGCTTTTATGACCTCCTTGGTTTTAAAAGCCTTTTTTCTCTTTCAGGAAGGCTAAGCTATTTCTATATGTCCCCTGTTACATGTCAGCGTCAGCGCTCTCCTATTGTGAGGTTATGTTCTCTTTTTTAATCTTAAGAAAATTCAGGCTACTAAAACAAATGATAAGAATCAAATTTATCAGTCTGAAACCTCAAAATGGAGCGCTGTCGAAACAGTAGAAATCTAGAAATACCTCTGCTTTTCCGAAAGACAAGAAAAACTATGGAAATCAATCACTGGACATCATAACTGACCCACTTTACAGCTACTGCACCAACAACGGTAACATTCGAAGTGTGTCACATCTGTCGATCATTCACGAATGAAGTACCGCGTCCTCGATCCAAATAAACACTTTAACTGTTTCTATTAAAATTTTTAATTGTTTTAAATGTACTTTTTCTACATCATGTAAATTACCTGAGATAATTAAACAGCTTAATAAAACAGGTACATGGTTTGCTATTGTCGAGCAAATTAGTCTTTTTTTTATATTCCAACTACCACGAAGGCCTAAGGCCTAAACACCCATTGGTACCGTGGGGCTATAGGGGGATACAGGGGAAAGGGGGAACGCCACACGGACTCTGGCGAGGGAACACGTGTGCATGCAACATGCACACATTCTGGCTCCGCCTACGAGATCCGCCGGGTGGTACCTCCACGTTCGACAGTCAGAGACCGTCTACCACCTTCGGACAATCACAACATACATAGCCAAGAGAAAAATTTCTCCTGGGATGGGACTCGAACCCGCACAGCGCACGGCGACTGATCAGGAGACCGAAGAGTCTACTACTGCGGCCACCGCTGCTGCCTATCATATTAATTTCAATTAAACCGCTTCCAGTAAATTTGGCTTAAGTAAACCGTATAATTTAGTTACTTAGAACATTTAAGATATTCATTACGGGTAATGAAATTTTTTTAGAAAAACTGTTTAATTTCCCACGTTTTCTCAGTGGACCAATGATACGTGGAAAGTTTTTTTTTAGGTGTTCGGATCCAACTGAATTCGGTACCTACATGAACGCTGTAAGCTGTGACCGGTGCAAGGGCAACGTGTTACCAATTATCCCTCAAAAAAGCTGCGACTGGAGATGTGAAGACTGCATGAGAATTGTTCCATTGAAAGAAGTAGGAAAGACGTTGACGTTGATCGGTTCAGTTTTGAAAAGCTTCAGGATCTGCAATTTCGACGTCATGAACTCATTTCTACGAGGAAAGTTGAGTCACATGGTACCGGATAGCAATCAGGCGGTTTTGGATTTGAAGTGTAAAATTATTTGGTTTCTGGGACACGCGCCTGGATTTGAATGGAATGGTTAGTCGCAGTGTCTTAGGCCCGTATCGTCAGTCGTCCCTACAATTGTAGGGCGCGTTTAAATTTCAGGCTGATAAAACATAATATAATTCAAAAGCAAGCACAATTTGATGCAAATAGATGTTTGTGACATAACCTCAAAATAGAGCTCTGACACGGAGAAGTAGAAAACTATGACAATCAAGGAGGCCATAAAGGCGCCCTATAATTGTAGGGCGCGTTTATGGCCTCCTTGACTGTCATACTCCTTTCTGCCCAAAAATTTCTAGATTACACTTGTCCCGTGTCAGCGTCAGCGCTTTCCTATTGTGAAGATATGTTTTCTTTTTAAATTGTACGAAATTTCAGGCTGATAAAACATGATATAACTCAAAAGCAAGCACAATTTGATGCAAATAGATGTTTGTGACATAACCTCAAAATAGAGTTCTGACACGGAGAAGTAGAAAACTATGACAATCAAGGAGACCTCCTTGATTGTCATACTCCTTTCTCTCCTTCAAAAATTTCTAGATCACACTTGTCCCGTGTCAGCGTCAGCCCTCTCCTATTGGGAAGATATGTTTTCCTTTTAAATTGTAGGAAATTTCAGTCTGATAAAACATAATAGGGTGGCCCATAAGTCCTTTGAGCTGGAAAAAAAGGAATAAAACCAAACTAGTTACATTATGAAGAATTATTATATTTTGTTATCATCTTTATTGAATGGGAATTATGTTTTAAAAATCACATCGTCTAAATGCAATCCATTACGATCACGGCACTCATATAAACGACGTCTAAAATTGTCGATGACTGCGCGGCAAGTCAACACTGTAATGCTTGCCATTTCTCTTCGGATATTTTCTTTCAGGACATCAGCTGATCGCGGAGTGGTGTCGTACACTTTACTCTTGAGGTAGCCCCATAAAAAGAAGTCCATTGGGGTCAAATCTGGACTACGTGGTGGCCAGGAAATGTCTCCTCTTCGAGAAATTACTTTGCTGGGAAAAAGTTGACAGACGACAAGCATAGAAGTGTTGGAGGTGTGGGCAGTTGTTCCGTCCTGTTGAAACCAGGTCTGCGTATTATAGCCTGGAAAATTCTGCAACGCTGGTGTCAAAAACTCTTCTATCATTGCTACATACCGCTCCGAAGTAACAGTTAATGCGCGACCTCTGTCGTCCTCAAAAAAATAAGGGCCTACGATGCCATGCGCTGACATAGCAGCCCAAACTGTAACTTTAGGGCTGTGTAAGGGCTTCTGATGCTTACGCCTTGGATTTTCGGGGCTCCAATAACTGCAATTTTGTTTATTTACATGCCCGTTTAAATGGAAGTGAGCCTCGTCCGAGAACAACACATTATTGAGCGAAGAAAATCGATTCAACATTTCATTCGCAAAGTTTAGTCTCTGAATAGCGTCATTATCTTTTAATTCCTGCACTAACTGAATTTTGTAAGCGTGCAGACGTAAATCTTTCCTTAAAATCCGCTGTAAAGATGTTCTGGGTACGTTTAGTGCACTGGAACGCTTACGAGTAGACTGGGTATGATTTTGTCGAACAGACTGTGCCACAATGTTGATGTTTTGTTCAATACGAGTTGTCCTTAGTCGACCCCACCGCTGTTTATCTAACGTCGAACCAGTCTCTTCGAACTTAGCAACCCAGTTCTTAATCGTTTGAGCTGTTGGACACTTTGTAAAATTGTGTAAATCGTGGTATTCTCGATATTTACGCCCCGCAATGGTTGCCGAATCATTATTTTGATAAAACGCGCGCACACAAAAAGCAAGATCCGCTCCAGTGAAACACTCCATGGCGACTGAATTCCCAGACACTGAAGATACTGCCCCTACCTCGCCCGCGCCGCTCACGCTCACCCGTTAAATTTTATTCAAATTTGAAATTTCAAAGGACTTATGGACCACCCTGTATAATTCAAAAGCAAGCACAATTTGATGCAAATAGATGTTTGTGACATAACCTCAAAATACAGCTCTGACACGGAGAAGTAGAAAACTATGACAACCAAGGAGGCCATAAAGGCGCCCTACAATTGTAGGGACGACTGACGATACGGGCCTCAAACCTCGAATGTCTCTTATAGTTCTAGGAATGCTGGGGGCTACGTCTGTAAAGTTACTCTTTAAAACTAAATTGAATAATTTCTTGTCCGATCATATAATTTGATAAGACGTACTTTGATATACCTTTTGAGATTTAGATACTGGTAATGTGATCTAGGGCAAGGCATATCTGTTTGATGAGTTCTTACAAACAGCACTACAACTATCGGTGGATCTTGACTGACTTCACAATTTGTCTCCATCTGGTACAATTTCCTATCAATACTGGGTCAAAGTTCAAATCCATTTTTGTCAGGACTGACTCATTGACGTCGTCTCTCCATCTCATTCGGGAGGTCTTTACCGACAGATCTTTGATCGTGACGAACCTATCTCAATCCTGGGTTTCCTGGGCACCATCACTATTCCCAAGCAACTGCTTAATTTCGGTGTTTGTTCATAAGAAGTATGATATTCGTTTGCATTTGAATCATAGAGAGGTCCTAGGTCCTCCAACTGTTACAAACACTGAGGAAATTTGTGATGCTGTCACTGTCCTTTCTAGGGTTGTTTTGAAAAGAAGTGGTGATGAGGTACCTCCCTACTGCTTATGACTCCTAGTTACTTATATCGCTAGACTTTCACAACTGCTTATCCACCCGTAAACTGGCATTACTATTATTTACGCATATCCTGTTTATGTTGATGAGCTTCCTTGGAACCGAGAATTCAGCTTCGAAAAGATCGGCGAGGGAAAGATCATAAATGTATTTAGGATCGTTTGAAATAGCACTATTTCGTAATAGCTTCATACGAAAATTAAGTGTTTTGATTTTGGCCTGTAGTTTCCACGAATACCAAGAAAGTTCTTTAGACTATTCATACATGATGCGTTTAGCTTTGTAAGCCTTTGCCCCTTTAACAAATTTAGTGGATATATTCCTGCTGGGTGTTTCGACAAATTTGAAATGGGTTGAAGGGACTGAACAACATCACTGGTAAAAATTATCCTTCTAATAACCCTTATTATATAAATTTCTTGTAATTAATTGGATTTGAGGTCTAAAGAAATACAGTTTTGAAGTTCCAGTCTGGAGTCCACAGCTAAAGGGTGAATTCGCTATAGTTTTTTGTCTGGTAACACTGATCAACAGCCAAAAAATATCCTAAATAAAATCAACAAAATATTACTATTTTTAATGTGCTAAAACCGGAATGAAACTTATTTTTTCAATATTAGTTCAAGTTTTAGAGATACGGTAATTATATGTGTTCCTGCTGTGACAGTGTTAATATACTGTAATTCACAAGAATGCACGTGCTACATTTTTATATTCGGCAAGGAAAGATGATGTAATCGGCATGATTGTGTTACGTTATACATACGTGTACATTATATTGTTTTATATTAGCCATTTTTTCCTCAGTTGGCTGACAGCGTTCATGCAAGATGTCTCGAAAGTGTGTAAACAATCCAGATCAGTTTTGTATGTGTGTGGTGATGTGACTTTTGAGTCTAATAACTAATAACAAAGGCATATCAGCTTTATTTCGGTTGTAAACTAGGTGATCAAGACAAACAGTGGGCACCCCACATCTGCTGTAATACATGTGCTTCAAGTCTGAGGAGCTGGTTAAATGGCAAAAAACGGTCTATGCGCTTTGCTGTCCCAATGGTTTGGAGAGAGCCTACAAATCATATTAATGATTGTTACTTTTGCATGGTACCTTGTGTGGGACAAGCCACAGGTATGTCCAAGAAAAAAAAATCGGTTATTAACTACCCAAACATACCATCTGCGATGAGACCTGTGCCTCACAGTGACGAAAATCCTATTCCAAAACCCCCAGAATCCTACACTTGCGAATCAGAAAACGAATCGGATCATGGCGATCGAGTGATTCGTCAGGAAGAAGATATGCCATCAACGTCAAGAGATCCTGATTTTATACCGAGCACGTCATGCCACCAACCGCACAAAATAACACAGTCAGAATTAAATGATCTTGTAAGAGATTTAGAACTTCCAAAATGTAAGGCAGAGTTACTTGGATCAAGGCTGCAGCAGTGGAACTTGTTAGAAGACGATGTTTCGGTATGTGTTTTTCGTAAACGCCACAAAGACTTAGAACCATTTTTCAATATGGAGAATAACTTGGTTTTCTGCAGTAACATTAACGGCTTACTGGCGGCTTTAAATATAAACTATAACCCAGAAGAATGGAGATTGTTTATAGACAGTTCAACATTGAGTTTAAAGGCAGTGTTATTGCATATTGGAAATATTTTACCATCTCTTCCTGTAGGGTATTCAGTTCACATGAAAGAATCATATGACAATATGAAGTACCTATTGACATGCATAAAATACGATGAGCACCAATGGCATATTTGTGGCGATTTGAAAGTTGTTGCACTTTTACTTGGGCTGCAGCTAGGCTACACAAAGTTTTGCTGTTTTTTGTGCGAATGGGACAGTCGGGCAAAGGCATTTCATTACACCAGACAAAACTGGCCTGTTCGTCAATTCCTAGAGCCAGGTCAAAAAAACGTACAGCATATGCCATTAGTAGATTCGAAAAAAATTTTATTACCACCACTGCATATCAAGTTGGGCCTAATGAAAAACTTTGTCAAGGCATTAGATAGAGATGGGTCAGCTTTTCAATACCTGCGTCAGAAATTTCCAAGACTAAGTGAGGCAAAGGTTAAAGAAGGTATTTTTGTTGAGCCACAGATTCGAAATATTTTGAAAGGTACACAGTTTGAAAACCCTTTAACAGGTATTAAAAAAACTGCTTGGAATGATTTCCGTCTGGTGGTCACTAATTTCTTGGGAAATAGAAAAGCTGAAAACTATAAAACCCTTGTCAAAGATATGCTGTCATCGTATCAAAAGATGGGCTGTAATATGTCTCTTAAGATACATTTCCTACACTCACACCTGGACTTTTTTCCTGACAATTGCGGAGCCGTAAGTGATGAGCACGGCGAACGTTTTCATCAGGATATTTCAACAATGGAAAAAAGGTACCAGGGAAAGTGGAATCCTTCCATGCTTGCAGACTACTGTTAGACTCTTGGTAGAGATGCTCCAGAAACGATCCATAAAAGAACAGCAAAAAGACAGCGCATATAGTGATTCTTATAAGTATATGAATCTTGTTACTTTTTTTAATATATCCTTAAAAATAAAAAGTTTTTTTCTAAACCGCAACTAATTTTTTTATTTCATTGTCATTTTTGGATTCAGCGCCCCAAAATTAACAAAGAAGTGCACTTTTCCCACAAGATACAATTAAAAAACTAAAATTTGTTGTCCAGTGTAATCGAGCACGGAAAGAGGTTTTGTTAGTTTTTTTAAATATCTATCTAATTATTTTATTTTTGTTTTTTTGAATGTTAGGAATTGCTTGTTAATGAAATTCGGAGTTTAGTTGAAATAGCTCATTTTATATGATTTGTTAACCAAAATAATTAATTTTATTTCGATTTTATTATTCAAATTGTTAGTTACTGTATATGTAAAGCTAGCTTTTAAAAATTTTCTTGTAGAGCCCAGAAGGAGGAAATAAATGTCAGCAACTTTATATCAGGAAACTGTTTTTCCTTAGACCCCAAATCCAATTAATTACAAGCAATTAATATCAATGGTATGATCTTGCAAATTATTATAAATATATTCTTTGTAGAATTGCCATTGGAGATCCTAAACTTGAAAAAGAGTTTTTGTTGTGATATTTTATTGGTGCTACAAAAATTAAAAGTTGGAATGTGCGAGATAAGAGGGCTCCTACTGTACGAAATGTACTTATGCATCGAAGAAATAAACAAAAGAAAATCTGTAAGTATTTCGAATCTGAAACAGGTCTTCATTTGTACGAAAAAGGTATTCATTTATACAAAATTATAACTGTGTTTCCACCAAAAATGATCATAACGCAATACGAGATTATTTAGCAAATATAACACTTTTGCCTGACTATTTTGGAGAAAATGACGTGGTATAATATACTATATAGGAATCTGAAAATGAAAAGAAAAAACAAAAGAAGTGTCACCTGGAAGACAGATAAATAACGTATTGTCAAAAGTGTCATGTACTGAAGAAGGCCACCGTTAAGTACATTAAAGAAGAATTTCAAATATACTAATGACAAAAATGATTGATGTCTTCTTGGTGTGTGGAGTTCCATTCCATATTCAATTCAAGTCTCTTCCTACTCCATACCAATCGTGGCCGTTCCATTGGCCAAACAAACATAGAGAATTAAAATCGCAAGTGTTAATTAATAAACGAATTTGTTGATTGCCCGATTTAAAATAGCAGGGCTATGTTCTCACTGTCATTGGTTGTCAACCTGTCAGTTGATATTTCATCAGTTCGAAATACAATTATTACTCTCCTTGTTTTGATGTCTTCTTGGTGTGTGGAGTTCCATTCCATATTCAATTCAAGTCTCTTCCTACTCCATACCAATCGTGGCCGTTCCATTGGCCAAACAAACATAGAGAATTAAAATCGCAAGTGTTAATTAATAAACGAATTTGTTGATTGCCCGATTTAAAATAGCAGGGCTATGTTCTCACTGTCATTGGTTGTCAACCTGTCAGTTGATATTTCATCAGTTCGAAAGAATACAATTATTACTCTCCTTGTTTTTACAACTTTCTTGTCTGCTTAATATCACAGACAGACTTGAGATATACAAGAATATCGGACCTAATTTTCTAGAATTATCTTCTTTGAATTACAGTTAAAAAAATTTAAATACAGCAGACGCTCGATAACGTAAACGCGCGATAATGAAAACTTGCGCTAATGTAAACACAAACTTCGTTCTATAGGTTCAAACGGAACGCGCGATAACGTAAACAATGTGTACGCTCGATAACGTAAACAACTCGCGGCGCACGGAAACAGCGCGACGGTAAAATGCTGAAGCCTCGATGATTTATGTCGGGCGTCGGGGAGTCCCCGATTTATGATGTAGAGTGTAGGGGATTCACCTCTGCGATAAAATACGACAAACTCGGTCAGTCGCATGATTGTTTAGGATACGTTTATACGCGTTAATATATTTTACGACTAAGGCATCCAATTCCTATAAAAGAAAGTGTTTAAAGTTGAGTGAGAAAGTGAAAATCATAGACGAAGTTGCACTAGGTGCGGGAGTGACACAGTTAGCAAAAAAATATGGAGTATCGAAAGCAACAATCTGTAAAATTAAGCGTATGAAAACTCAAATTTTACAAAGAACGTGCAATACATTTGGAGGTCCGGGAAAAAGAAAAACTTTTAAAAATGCGAAGGCACCTAAAATAGAAAATTCCCTGTATAAGTGGTTTTTAAAACAACGGGAAAATCATGTCCCAGTTAGTGGCGAAGTACTTAAACAGAGAGCGAGACTGTTAAATGAAAAACTGAATGAAACTGAAAATTTCGTAGCTAGTGATGGCTGGCTACAACGATTCAAAACAAGATATGGAATTCGACTGCTGTCTATATCTGGTGAAAAATTATCAGCACAACCACAATTAGTGCAACCATTCAAAGAAAAATTGATGAAAACAATTACCGAGCTAGATTTAAGAATGGAACAAATTTACAACGCAGATGAAAGTGGTCTTTATTGGTAAATGTGACCAGAGAACACCTATGCTGCATCATTTGAAAAATCTGCCCCGGGAAGAAAGCCGGAGAAACAACGAATAACGTTTGTAGCCTGCACTAATGCTAATGGTTCACACAAAATAAAGCCACTGGTATTTGGGAAGCAAAAAATCGGCGCGAATTTAAAAATGTTAATATCCCTGTTGATTATGACTGTTCAAAAACCGCTTGGATGACTAGCAGTATATTTCTGAAATGGTTCCACAGGTGCTTTATCCCTCAGGTATGACAATCAATTATCACAAATGCTCTATTCATAATTGAAGATGTGTTTTCAATTTGTAGGTAAAAGGTTTCCTAAAACAACAGAAGCTTCCAATAAAGGCGTTGTTACTATTGGATAATGCACCAAGTCATCCTCCCGAGCAACAACTGAGGAGCAGGGATGGGTCAATTTTCGTCATGTACCAACGTAATACCGTTAATTCAACCGATGGACCAGAATATAATAAGACTCACCAAACTATACTATAGGAAGTTTCTACTTTCGTCTGTCTTATCAAAGAATCCTGAAAACTTATCTGAGGCTTTAAAAGAAGAAACATTACGAGAAGCTGTTTTAGATTTACATATGGCCTGGAATGAACTTAAACAGCAAACTATTCAAAAATGTTGGAACAATCTCTTTTGTACCAATAATGAAGATGATGAAGAAGACGATGTCCCCTTAAGCGTAATTAGAGAACGTTTGCGATCCAATAATGATAATGTTATTAGTGTGTCATTGGATGTTGTTGATTTATTGAAAACAGTGAATCCCAATATTGGTTGTACTCCTGCTAATATTAATTTATGGAACGAAGATAAGCAGACGAATGATGCTGATAAGGAGGAGGATATGGACAGTGAGGATGATGAGAATGATCCTATTGAAGTCAGAAGTGTAGTGACTGTCGCGCAAGCTATACAAGTTTTTAACCAAACTTTAGATTGGGCTGAAAGAAAAGAAGTTTCATACACGGATATTTTAGTTCTACGTAAATTACGGGCACAGGCATTGGAAGACAATGCTAAGCGCAAATTTACGCAGACTAAAATTGTTAATTATTTTTCTTCTAATTAAAAAAATACTTATCGCTGTTAGAATATTTGTTTATTTTGTTATAAATAGTATGTATTAAATGTTTCTTTTAATAAATCAAATATCATATAAATCACATTCGCTAATGTAAACATTTCGATAATGTGAACCACACTTGGATTAAATTACTTTACATTATCGAGCGTCTGCTTTAATCATATTTGGTACTTACATTAAAATGATATTCACAAGAATATGAATTTGGAGATATATTATCCCTTTTCATAATTGTACACCATTTTATTTTACATCGCATTTTGCGTTCTTCATCCACTCTTCTTTTTTTAATTGAAACTAGATTATATAAAAAATTGAATATTTGGAAGCTCGACAGCAAATTAACCAAAAACACAATCAACTGATATGTCGATGATTATGACGTCACTGTGAAGCGCATCAAGAATGAGGCGTTTAAATCAACGTCCTTGACATTGCAGTTTTGAATGTTTAATTAAAAATAAATACAAACATTTCCATGAATGAAATATTTGTCTACGACATTATATTGATGTAAATAATTGACAAACAGTATAAAAAAGCATGCATATTTCTATTATTCGATATTGATATACCTTAACGCACCTTTTTTCTAGGATACTAATGAAAAAGATGGCATAAACTATCTGAAAGAGGCTTGTGATATTTTGAAATTTGACGCAAGTGCGCCAGAGCAAATTAGAACTGGGATATCAGATATTAATGGAAATAAAAATAAATTAGATACATAAATACAAATGAAATAAAAAAATATGATGAAACGTTTATTTCTTAAATACTTTACTTTACAATGTACCTACCCCTTTTCTTATATGAATATAAAATGCTTATAAAATTTCCCTTCTTGGAAACAAAATGAGTTCACATATTTTTTATCAAGCACATCATCTAATACGGGTTCCAGGTATGCGTCTGTAATCCAAATGTCGTCACCGAAATGGACCTTATTCTTGCTTTACATATATGGTGATGAGTAGCATTCAAATGAGTCCATGACAAAATTGTTTCCTAATTGGATTCTCAACAAAGTTTTATATTATGCTAGAAGCAATTTGAGTTTGTAAAGCAAATTACTTTAATGAGGGAAGAATAAGTTGAACAGAGATATACTAAGTGACATATAAATCCGAACACCCAGTTTAAATGGTTTTATTTTAATAAAATTTTGTATAAGTACTTAATGAAGCATAATAAGTAAATGATAAAAATTTAAAATTGCACTGCTTTAAAGCCCTTTGACCTTTAATAATGTGTGGATGCACCCTGATGTGCTACGCATTCTCCAACGCGCCTAGGCATGCTTCTGATCAGGTGATCAATGTGTTCAGTTGGGGATAAGTCGGAAGATCTTGCTGGCCATGGTAACAATGTGACATCATTATGTTGAAAGAAGTCTATTGTGACTCTTGCAACATGTAGTCGGGCATTATCTTGTTGGAAAGTTGGATCTGCCAGGGTGTCAAGATAGGGTAAAAGATGGGGTTCTAGAACTTCGTGGATATAACGCTGCGCGTTCATGTTACCTCTGATGAAGATTAAAGGTGACCTGGAACCATAAGCTATAGCACCCCAAACCATAACTCCAACAGTGTGATGAACATGTCTTTCAACAAAAAACTGTGGATTCCTACTTTCACCACGTCGCCTTCTAACCCTGGCACGACCATCGTGCATGCCTAAACAAAATCGAGACTCGTCACTAAAGACAATACTGTTCCATTAGTGATCCCAGAGTGACCGTTGTCTGCACCAATCAAGGCGATTACGTCGATGTTCTCGAGTTAACGGGAGGACCCAGTGTGGCCGGTATGAAAACAAGCCAAAACTTCTCATTCGTCGGTAAACACTTCGCATGCCAATAGGTATTCCGTGTTCTGCAAACCATTCGTTTGCAATGGACCTGGTAGTGGAGAAACGGTCCCTTAAGGTCAATAATCTTAGGCGGCGATCTTCACGGTCTGTTGTTCTACGGCGGCGTCCAGTGCCCCTTGCTCTTTGCGTACGGCCTTCTCGAAGCCATGCCTGACAACACCTAACCACAGTGTCTACACTTCTTTGCACTCTAACTGCAATTGCCCGAAAAGAAAGTCCAGCTTCCCGAAGTCCCACTATACGGCCCCTATCAAACTCACTAAGTAGACGAAATCGTACAGGTCTCCGTACTCTAGGCATCGTAACCGATCGTAAAGGATGTCAAGAACCAAAATCCGCCAACGTTGGTTCTTTACTGCGGCTGAAATATTCATTTTTAGAGCGTTAGTGAATTAAAAAGAAGCAGTATAAAAACCGGAATGTCCAACTGATAAGGCTGAAAATTTTTTCACTTGTTATTTACAGTAAGATAAATACATTCACCAACTTTTATTAAAATAAAACCATTTAAACTGGGTGTTCGGGTTTATATGTCACTTAGTATATTATGCTAGAAGCAATTTGAGTTTGGGAAGCAAATTACTTTGATGAGGGAAGAATAAGTTGAACAAAGATATTTCGAAAACATCCGACAGTATTAAATTTACTGAAAATTTGCAAAATGCGATACGAAAAATTCAACAGGCTAGACATACACAGAAATCCATATTTCACTTCCCTGAATTATGATACACGTGGATAATATGCGTCAGTTTATTCTCTACGCCCTAATAGTGGTTTTATTTTGAGCGCACATTTTTTAATTGTGTCGAATCTGTTTAGAATCGATTCCGGATCGGTCCTAACGGCGCTCCATCTTAGGTCGAAATGAAAGGTCAGGATTGCCACAAATCCTGCAACATTGCATCATTCGTTCGCTTGTCAACACCTCATCCCGTACCTTACAAGGCAAGGTTTCCACGTCCATAGATCATAGATGAGCCCTTTTGACAGTGTTGCTTAGTCTAACAATTTTTCGGTATTTCTACCGAAATGAGTCCTTATTTACCGAAATATCGAAAACGTGCACATTTTCCACGATTTTTTAAAATAACTCAGGTAGTTCCGGATTTTTGACCGAAAATAATTCTATGCAGATTTATGCTCCATACCCGTCATACATAACCGTACACCTAGGCAGTCGGGCACACGAGGGACGTAGATTTGGGTTGCCTACAATTATGTACGCATATCCCTTAATCCGCTTTCCCTGTATTGGTTTCTGTGCGTACATCAGGTGCAAACCGGTAGATCACCTCGAGGCCGGACATGCAATAAGGAAATCAACACTCGTCTGTGTTTAATCAAATACAGGGTGCGCCATCTTTTATGTCGGTATGTAAACAAAAAAATATACTAAGTGACATATAAATCCGAACACCCAGTTTAAATGGTTTTATTTTAATAAAATTTTGTATAAGTACTTAGTGAAGCATAATAAGTAAATGATAAAAATTTCAAAATGATTGCACTGCTGTAAAGCCCTTTGACCTTTAATAATGTGTGGATGCACCCTGATGTGCTACGCATTCTCCAACGCGCCTAGGCATGCTTCTGATCAGGTGGTCAATGTCCTCCTGTGGTATCTCATTCCAGGCAACCACCAACTCCTCTCGAAGTGCTTCTAGAGTCTGAGGAGGACGTTGCAAATTGAGCAATCTCCTACCTATCATATCCCACACGTGCTCAATTGGGGATAAGTCGGGAGATGTTGGTGGCCATGGTAACAATGTGACATCATTATGTTGAAAGAAGTCTATTGTGACTCTTGCAACATGTGGTCGGGCATTATCTTGTTGGAAAGTTGGATCTGCCAGGGTGTCAAGATAGGGTAAAAGATGGGGTTCTAGAACTTCGTGGATATAACGCTGCGCGTTCATGTTACCTCTGATGAAGATTAAAGGTGACCTGGAACCATAAGCTATAGCACCCCAAACCATAACTCCAACAGTGTGATGAACATGTCTTTCAACAAAAAACTGTGGATTCCTCCTTTCACCACGTCGCCTTCTATCCCTGGCACGACCATCGTGCATGCCTAAACAGAATCGAGACTCGTAACTAAAGACAATACTGTTCCATTCCTGATCCCAGAGTGACCGTTGTCTGCACCACTCAAGGCGATTACGTCGGTGTTCTCGAGTTAAAGGGAGGACCCAGTGTGGCCGGTATGAAAACAAGCCAAAACTTCTCATTCGTCGGTAAACACTTCGCATGCCAATAGGTCTTCCGTGTTCTGCAAACCATTCATTTGCAATGGACCTGGTAGTGGAGAAACGGTCCCTTAAGGCCAATAATCTTAGGCGGCGATCTTCACGGTCTGTTGTTCTTCGGCTGCGTCCAGTGCCCCTTGCTCTTTGCGTACGGCCTTCTCGAAGCCATGCCTGACAACACCTAACCACAGTGTCTACACTTCTTTGCACTCTAACTGCAATTGCCCGAAAAGAAAGTCCAGCTTCCCGAAGTCCCACTATACGGCCCCTATCAAACTCACTAAGTTGACGAAATCGTACAGGTCTCCGTACTCTAGGCATCGTGACCGATCGTAAAGGATGTCAAGATGTCAAGAACCAAAATCCGCCAACGTTGATTCTTTACTGCGGCTGAAATATTCATTTTTAGAGCGTTAGTGAATTAAACAAAATTAGTATAAAAACCGGAATGTCCAACTGATAAGGCTGAAAAATCTTCACTTGTTATTTACAGTAAGATAAATACATTCACCAACTTTTATTAAAATAAAACCATTTAAACTGGGTGTTCGGATTTATATGTCACTTAGTATAACTTTGGAAACGAAAACCTGAATTCTATATGTCGGCTATTTTTATTAAATATGATCCTTTACAATTTATTGGGACTAGTTTTTGAACACAACATCTAGCAAGTGGCCACCTTTATTGGCCAAAACAAAATGTGCCCGTTTTGCTGCGTTTTCCATTACTTTCTCGAGCATCTCTGGTGGTATAGCGGCGATTGCGGTACGAATGTTTGCCTTGAGTTCCTCAGTGGTCTGGGGCTTGCTGGCGTACACTTGACTTTTCAAATAACCTCACAAGAAGAGGTCCAGTGGGGTCAAATCTGGAGACGTGGGTGGCCAGTCAATGTCACCTCTTTTTGAGATCAGACGTCCAGGGAAGTTTCGTTGCAGAAACTGGATTGTTTCATTTGCAGTGTGCAGAGTTGAAACCAATAACCATCAAGACCTTATTCACGCATTTGTGGGCAGACATAATGAGCCGACATCCACCGATATCGATTTCCATCGACTGTTTCGTTTTCGTTGAATAAAAATGGCCCAGTAATGGTTTTGGCGCAAACGCCGACCCAAACAGTCACTTTCCGGTCATGCAACGGCAATTCGTGGATATCATGTGGATTTTTCGTCCCCTAAATGCGCCAGTTTTGCTTATAAACGCCGCCAGAGAGCGTGAAATGGGCCTCGTCGGTCATCACAATTTGCTTCCAAAAATCAGGTTCAACATCAACCATGCGAGCAGCTGTTTGGGCGTATTCCAAGCGACGTGGACGGTCAGTTGGCGATATTTCTTTTGTTAACTGCACCTTATAAGGAAACAAATGCAAATCATCCTTCAAAATGCGCCACAACGTGGCTCCACTGATGCCAAAATGCTGAGCGCGGTGACGATACGACACTTTTGGGTTCTGGGCAACGCTGTCTCTGACCGCTTCAACCAATTCATTGCAACGTCTTGGTCATTGATAAACGGTTTGTTGACGATCTCCCACTGTCTCGTACTCAAGAAAATTCGAAACCAAATGACGGATAGTGTTGTCAGCATCAGTGTTTGCCACCGCACTCTCGTACACATGTACCCCCTCAACCACCGAAAACCAA